AGCAAGAAAACGCCTGGACAGTACTGACCCCATACGTTGTAATAAGCCGCTAAGCACCTCCGTAGTGCCCAAGAATCACTACTACTAGATGTAGAGCAACTGGTAAGTGCGGTTCATTTCAATTGAATCTCTGACTCGGTTTACTCGTAAGAATCGATTTGTGCGGTGGTTTTCGTTACTCTCCAACGTCGTCGTCGTTTCTTCCCTAACTGGAAACAAAAAAGGCAATTTAGAAGATTGGAACGCTCTTCTCAGCTGACTCTGATAACCCGCTGAGGGAATTCACAGCGCCAACTAATTAGCATCACCTTCAGTACTAACCATGTTGCCGGCTGTTCGCCCTATTTCACGACGCGCTTGGTTGGCTCTTAACCATTATTCAAGGTACGATATATTCATTAAATATCGATCTGTCAATCTAGATTATTGATTGGATTTTTAAAGCCGAGGACAGTAAGAACCAGTGTATCTCATTGGTTCTTATGGCTAACCAGCGGAACGGCCCTCTCAAAGTCAGCATCTGCACGGTCTCAGGATATCTGTCGACCGCGAACCCTCCCTCCTCCTTTCCTCTTCCTCCTTCCTTCTTTTCCTTCCCTCTTCCATACTTTCCTCCCCTCAAAGACTCGGCCAGAAGAAGCGATGGGGCGAACACCTCTGGACCCTCGCAATGAGAGAGCATCCTGTTGAGAGATGCCTTGATCCGCACGAGTTGATTGGATTGATTGACACTTTCACAATGGCCGTCGATCATCCTTCTCATCTGTTCCCGTCCCAGTTGTAGAGGGAGGGGGGGCTAAAGAGGAATCATTGTTCAAGCACGGCATGATGCGTTTTTCTTCGGCTCAGGACATCTACATACCGCAATGTCCCCCCCCCCCCTTCAAACCTTTTTTTCTTCCTTTTTCTACTTACTTCCTTCGTTCTCGCTTCCCTCCTTCCTTACTCTTTTCCTTTCAAGCACTTGGCCAGAAGATGCAACGAGAAAATGCCTCGCTCGGGAATATCCAGGTGACAATTGCCTTGTAGCCGATGTTCGTAGAATATTTCCGTTCACGGCCCTTTATGCCTGGGAGGAGTCACTTCAAGCCATTCCGCCCCCGTCTGCACCTCTCGCTCTGGACACTGTGTTCATGTTCTATCTGGGCCAACTAAACGTTAGAATATGTAATCTTCTCACCTAATACTCTCACTAAGACAGCATGACCTGCCTTTTCAGCATAGGGCCAAGTCTCCCTGAACTGATGCCCCTCCCACGACACACGAAGGCATTTGAGCCATTTTTCATCCCGGTTTTGGTGGCTGGACAAATGACATGGTTCCAATTGCTCATATAATGGCAATATCTCCTACCAGCGCAGCCCTACACCTCTCGAACGAATTAGCTTGTTTCGGAGCGCCTCTCCAAAACGTACAAGTGTAGAACACTCCACTCTTTTGGAGTAATATAAACCTAAACTCTGTGTGTATGTCAATCTATCTACTGAATTTCACATTTCAGTTCGGCAAGCCAGCTGGCAAAGTGCCACCTTTGTTACTCACAAATGACCTTCGAGTTAACAACAATTAGAACCGGAGAAATCGCAAAGCCACTCCCGAAGAAGGTAGTTTAAAGATTGATAAGAATATTAGTAGTAATGAAATATTAGTAATGACGAAGAATAACCAAACCTGGAACGGACCTCAAATCTATACGGGTCCTGCGCAGATTGTGCCTAACTGATTTCGACGGGTCATCGCTGTGCTCTTTAAAAACGACAATTGAATACATCTCAACTGGTAACGCAAGGAGTCCGTAAGATGCAAGATACAGTCCACGGCTGAAATCTGTAGCGGAGACAGAAACCATTACATTCCTACTCGCGGTGCGCTCATTCCTTACCTAGGGCGGGTATCGCGCCGCATCATTTAGGAGAGCAAGTGGTTGTTCTTCTCCCGATCGGACTGTGTAGCACCGAGGGCACGTGCATAACGAATATTATGAAACGTTTTCCCCATCGGACTCTCAGCCAACTGGGGATTTCTAATCAAAAAGAAAGCCGATTATATCAAAGCTTGCCGTTTACCAGGAGCAGCTTTGTTTAGGAACTGGGTTTTGTTTATCAGGGAACTGGTTCGCAACACTCTTCTCCCAATCATGATTTTACGAAACATATGTTTGAGGTTGATTGGAGCTCAGAAGGCGGTTGGACTAAGCCAGTGATTCGTCCCTATGAGAACTTTTCACTTGATCCTGCAGCTAAGGTGAAAATTACTTGATTTTCATGGAAGGTAGGCATCACAATCGCTTTCGATGGTTTGAATTCAAAATGGTCAGCAAATAGCTCCGCCCATACGGCGAGCGTAGAACATGGCTCCAGTTCCATGTTCCATACTGTTTCCACAGCCCATATGTGTAATCCAAGTCGGAGGCTATGGATCCACTTTCAGGTTCTCCACTACGCTACTGAGTTGTTTGAGGGAATGAAGGCATATCGTGGTGACGACGACCGTATTCGACTATTCCGCCCACAGCTTAATATGGAGCGAATGCGCCGAACGGCCAGACGAGCTGCTCTACCGGATTTTGATGGCGACGAGCTACTGAAATGCATACTAGAATTGGTGAGATCGCAATTCTGCGTTCATACTTCGCAACTCAATCGACGAAGTCGTGCGATTTGGGAGTTTTGCGATCGTAGGCACTCTACCGCTAATCATTGAATAGTTGCAACTGCTATTCTAAGAACTGGAACTTTCACGGCTTTTGCAGCAGTCCAGTGATAGTGGAGCTCGATTGATCGCAGTCGCACGACTTGAAAGTCGCTCGTCCATTCACGAAGTATGAACGCGGACTAGCGAACAAGTGTAGTTGGGTGACGGAAATTGCCAGTTAGCGGCTGGTCGCAGAGATGCCACGCTGCTAGCGGCTATGCTACGTCATGTCTGCTCATCAGTTCTTTCAGCGGACAGGAGAGCGGTGTATATTCCTATTCTTTGGCTGTTAAAAAAACGGGGCGAGACAAGATGGATAAGAAAAATCGGGCGCAGTTCGTCTAGTGGGGGCACGGGTGGTAGTCAGCTACGCTTGTTCAGGCGGCCTTGGGATAACCAGTAAATCCACGTAATCAAAGAATTTCGCAGCCTCGCGGAAGTTTACGGGTCTGACTAGAGTGAGATCTCTATTTGACGTGATTTGACAAAAAGAACAGGCGAAGGTGCTAACAGGGTACCGAAAACACTTGGGGAAGGGGCTTGGGGTGGGAGGGGTCTACTTTGATTCACGCCGAAGAGGGAGAGGGGGGGGAGGTCGTGTGTGTTGAGAGAAATTCGCCGCGTTGGGAAAAAATTTCCCCTTTTGTTGAGTTTTGGTTTATCCAGTTTCATATTTACACATTACTCCCGTATACCCCGCCCCCTCGCTCGTCGGAAATTTTTTTATGAAAAAGTAGCAATTTTCCCGGGAAACTTCGTAAAAGCTAGTAGGAAGCTCGAAAGTGGGAGCTAGGTGCTAGGGTTCACATATCACGATGCTGTACCCTGAGTGCTAAGTGCCCCTCCAAAGCCGAACAGACCTGGAAAACGTGACATGTGGCATAATCTGTGGCATTCCCGGTCTAGCTTTGCTCCACTGTAACTACTCTCGAATCGCTGCCATGTTCAGGTTCGTGTTGATCAAGCGTGGGTACCGAAAGAAAAAGGAGCGGCGCTATATGTACGCCCAACCTTGATTGGAACTGAGCCAGGTTTGGGCGTACTCCTCTCGAATAAGGCTAAACTGTTCGTGATCACAAGTCCAGTGGGGGCCTACTTCAAGCACGGTTTCAAAGTACGTCATCTGCAAGTAATTTCAGATTGTAAAGCAACTGTAAACAATAACAAACCGTAGATTTTCAGCCGATCAAATTACTTGCCGATGCAAAATTCGTCCGAGCAGCAAAAGGTGGGGTTGGTGCTTTCAAGATGGGCTCTAACTATGCTCCTACATTGGGTGTGGCTGCAGAAGCAGAATCAGAAGGCTGTCATCAGGTTCTATGGCTGTCAGGAGAAGAACACTATGTGAGTGAATGCAGGGACAATTCCATTTACTATTTGGATCTGGCACTTTGTGCAACTTAACGTTTCTCTACAATCCATCTCTTCTGATTGAATGCATCCTCTTGAATCAGGCTCTGGTGTGTTGGCAGTTTGGGAACAGAGGCCAGGGCACGTCGTTCCTTGGGATCTCCAGCGGGGAGGGATCCTTTTGATCGTGTTTGCTTTTGAAAAATTGAAAAAAATGGTTAATCGCTTGTTGGCTTTTCTCGGTTTTCCTGTTTTATATTCACTCTATGTCCTCTCCCCCTCCCTTTTTTCCACTCGACGGCCGTTTTTTTTTGCGGGGGACGGGAGAGCTCTCGAGGAAAGAATAGGTAGAATGGAGGAAAGTTGAGAGAGTTCAGGAGGGATGGTAGGTAGGACGATGAGGTGGGTAAGGGACAAGGCGTCGTACCAAAGGAGGCTTGAGGGGGATCTCATTTTGGAAAAATCGTCCCCAACGGCAGGAGTTGCCTTAGCTGCAACAGTTTAGAAAGCGAGACCCACCAGAAAGGAGTAAGCAGCCCAGGGCACACCAGACTTT